TCTACACTAGCCGCCATACCTGCAATCTAACTAGGAGATTACCTATTTAAGCTCTCTGGCTTTTACAAGTGAGAGTATGACTAGCCATGCTTGCAACTTTTGGTTGTCTATTTAAATAGTCTCCCAGTATTTATTACTAAAAACAATGAAAAACATAATCAAAATAATAATAGTAAATATCAACCTAGATATATTTGCACCTAATGTTTTGACTTACAAGATAGACATTTTTTTTAATATCAAGGTATTGAGAAGAAGCTCTTTACATACAATGATAAATATAAAAATAACAAAATACAAGCACTTGAGCTTATGGGATAGTAGATTTTAAACATAGCAAAATTAAATAATTTTAATCAAAAAGATAAACCATTAACATATCTTAGTTTGGCATTGTCTTTTTTTGATAAAACCAAAAAGTATAAACAAAATTCTCCTAGCCTTTTATTTGTCAAAATAGCTTTTTGACTTTGGCAAGTAAATCTTACAAAAATTATAAAAAGTGAATATGATTTTATATATGAAATATCAAAAAATTTGGAGAAAATTTAGGAATAGCAGTATAGAAATCTTGTAATAAATTTGCAAAAATAAAGAGATTCTTGAAAAGCCAAATTTATTAAATGAATATTAATCAGTATTTTTAAACTATCTTTTTGGTTTTTTTCAATAAATTAATTACTATAGTACAAAAAAAAAATATGATATAGTTGTCAAAAAAAGAAAACAAAAAAAAATTAGAGATAAAACCCTTTGATAAGGTTTGGGTGAAAAAAATATTTATATTTTTTATTTCTGTAATTCTCACTATTGCTTTTCTAGCAACAGATATTTGGCTTACACATGTTATAAGTTCTTCAATATAAAAATCTAAATTATCAACTTCACTTTATAGCATTTTTTGCATTGCAAATATAGTATCTCACACACAAAAACATGAATAGAGGCTAAAAAAATGTAGAATAAAACAAACAAATCCAAATTTAAGACTTTTAAAAAGTTTGAATATTTGGACAATATATGTTATCAACAATATTGATTTTAAGAAAAGTTTGTTTAAATTTAAAATATATTTGATGATTCACATAATACTTCTCATGCTATGTTAAGGGTAGTTTTTCAGTTTACTTTATTTATACCAATTAAATCTTTTATTTCTGTTGCTTCAAATAGCAATAACAATAGTATTAGTATTAGTAACAATAACAGTATTTATATTTACAATAGTAACAATATTTTATTTGATAAATCAAATTTTGTAAAAGATCAATATCATAAATATGAAAATGTTTTTAATCAACTTGCAAAATTATACCAAAAATTTCAGATATTAGTAATTTTTATTGTAAATATGTAAAAGATATATCTTTAGGATATTAGGTTAATGCTCTAAATTTTATTATTCTTATACCAGATAAGAAACCAAATTGTGATTTGAATATTTATAATTCATGTAATCTATACTTTAAAGATCTTCAGTTATCAAAAGGTGAATATTTGGATATTGCATCTGATGAAATGATCTTTTGCTGCCTAATTTCATATTGTAATTTAAAAGAGGACAAACCAATATGATTGATTTTAGATTAATAGCACACATTAAAAGCTATATATACTACTTTAATTAAATTTTTTTCAGGTTATGAAATTTTCAGTTTAGCTGCAAAACTTGTGCTAAATATTTAGATAAAATTAGAAAAGGTTGTTGATTAAAATACTACATTTTATGTTTTAAAATTGATTTGGATAGTAGTAGGACTTGCTTTAACAAAATATTTAAGAAATAAAAATCTAAATAAAACTATAAGTGATATTAAACAAAAAAATAACAGTATTGTAAAAGTTTGGTTCTTATATTTTCATTGAATAGGTTATGTAATTAATCATAAAATAGGAATAAGAAAAGCTAATTATGATTTGCAATTTTATTTACTTTTAGCATTTGCATCTTTTTTTTTAGTTTGTAGTAAAAGTAATTATAAACAATCAATGACTTATTTTCTAGTTCATGTATATAAAAATTCTCAGTTATAGCAATTACTTTATCTGGTATGTTTAATAAACCTTACACATCCTGGTTATTATTATTCTTTAAATAAAGTATTAGAAGTTTTAAAAGTAAAATTTATTAAACAAAATATCAAATCCAATATAATAGATAAAGAACAATTCAAGCTACATATATTATCTATTCAATCTGAAATGAACAATAAACAGGCACTTTTATTAGATTACATAGGAGATATCATTATAGTTAGTAAAGGTCATAATATACAATTCTATAAGGATACAGTATAGAAACTTGCTGATGACCTAACTATCATGTTTTAATTATCTAATTTAGCAACATATGAACTTTTTAAATATTCAAAAGAATTAAATGAAGTAGGGTTTTCTCTTATTGCAACATGTTTTGCAGAAGGTATAAAAAGATTAAATTCAATTCATGATCAAGAAATTCTAAAAACTAAAGAAAAAGTAGTCAAGGGCCAAGAAGTTGTAATGTAAATATATATAAGTTGTCAAGTTTGTTAAATAATGACAATAATGATAAAAAGAAAAGAAAAAAAATCAATATTACTGATGTTGATAGTAGCAATAAAACTATTAATGATAAAATGAACTTATCTTTTACTAAACATATATGTAAAGCAACAAGTAAAAATATGAAAGAAATTCTTTTTTGATTGCTTGTTTGTACTACTTTTCTTAATGATGATTAATTACTATATGATATACTTCATGAACTTCAAGACATAGAATCAGGTTGGACTAAGGAACATGCCAAGATATATTAGCAAAATCATCACAATAAAAATAAACAAAATATATAACTAGTACATAAAGCTATAAGATGTGTATAATACTAAAGAAGATAAATGAACTATAATTTCTAAAAAACTTTTTACTAATAAAAATACTATACACTAGTGTAAAACCAAAAAGGTTCTAATGTAAGATATAGAAAATAGAACTATAAGTTAGCAGCTGTTATTTAGAAATAGTTCTTATATGCTATTTGCTAATAGCTTTAGAGTTTATCACTTACCGCAAGCATAGCACTTGTTATTTAGAAGTAGTTTTTATATACTACTTGCTAACAAGTTTAGAGTTTATCATTTACCAAAAAGACTTAGTACTGTGCAGGCTTTGGTGAAAAGTTGATTTTAGTAAAAAAAAAATCTACACTCTTTTAATTGGCTTCAAGATTTTTCTTTTTCACCACTTTTGCCAACCTCACCAAAATTTTTCAAAAAAAGTGGGCAATCTAGCTTACCCCCAAAAGATCAGCATTGTTTACATCTGTCTAATTTGGATAAACTTAGTAGAATGCAACTATGTATTTGTTTTGTTTATCAATATAGTGCTATAATACGAAGAAGAGACCAATACCCTATTTAGGAGATACTTGAGTTGGATCAGATATACAGAATGAGTTCTTAACAATAAAGCAAAGCTCTACATTTGGGATATAGTAATTAGTTGCAATTATTATATAATTTTTTAGGCTTTGATACAAGCATAAATATGCTATTAATTCTGGTTTTCTTTTTTCTGGTTTTCTTTTTTTAAAATCTGTCTTTTTCTTCTTTTCTTTCTGTCTTTTCTTTTTCTTTTATTTTCTTATTTTGGTTTTAAATACTTCTCCCTTTTTGTCTTGTGCCCTTTGAGAAGAAGAAAAAATTAGAAGGAAAGGTAGGTAGTCTTGATGAGCCACAAGTGCTATCTGTTGATATACTAATTAGCCTGAGATAAAGTTAACTAGTATAGAGGTAAATACTTGTTATAGCAGATCGCACATAGGTACTTTCTGAGCAATTAGATGAGTTAACACTTATAATTTAGATATCAGGTAGATTAGCTACCTAAAAATTTTGTATTTAAGATATTAAAATTTACAATGCCTAATAAAGTGATTGGCAAGATTGCCAAAATTAAAAAAAAATACTAAAGATAAAAAAAATCATTTGAATGGTATTTAAAATCTGCAAAAAAAAAAAATTCTAAAGTTTCATTGAACTCCAAATACTATGAAATATAAATAGAAATTATATTAGTAGTGATAATAAAGTTATAACTAAAGTAAGCTTTGTTTTCAAAATTAGCTACTTTTTATACCTTATGAGTTAGAATTAAAAAAAAATTTAAAATATAATAACCAAAATTTGACCAAATTGTTCATGCATATATAGTAATCTGCAGATAAAGTGGTACAGTTAGACCTCTTTATAGTCACCTTCTATATATGCATATTTTCTTTATAAGCATATTTTTTAAAAAACAAACCATTATTAAATATAATAAATTTAACCTCTATAACTGTGACACTTCTCTACAATCACACATTTTTGTATTCGAAGTGTGTGATTATAGAGAGGTTTGACTGTACTTGTTTTTAAAAAATAATAAATGATTAGTTAGATGCTAGGCGAAGTTAAAGAAAATTATTTGATATTATTTTAATTTGTTTTTTTTTAAAAAAAAAGTACAGAAAAAAATTCTCGAGCCCAGTAAACTGGAAACATTCTTAATGAAAGCATTTAATTTAACATTAATACATAAAACCTACATTAACAGATTTATTGATAATAAATGCTTAGCTTAATGATCATTCTTTTCAATTCCAGTTCTTTTCATCATAACAATAAATAGTGTTGTGTATTATACTGACGTATCCCACCACTGCTGATTTTTGATAATAAATGTTCTATGCTTTTCAACTCTAATTCCATTTCTATAACAGTGCTAAGTGCAAATATTTCACTATCATGCCTCATTTCTGCAAATATTCACTAGCATCACTGTCTTTTGACATTAAATACATATCTTGGATCCTGTGATAGTTTATAATAAGGTATCATCATCTATTTTTAAGTGAAAGATCTTTTTCAGTTTTTAATTTGTTAAGGATTTTAAGATTATTGTTAGGAAAAGAAAGACTCGATGAGTCATAAACATTATAACATAAATATATGATAAATTGTAATGTTGTAGTATTATTATAAAGACAAAATTTGCATTTTGTCTTTTTTTTTTATAAAATGGTAAAATATCGCATGCAGATCTTATAGTACGTACGTTGAGAAAGTGGTGACTAATAATTTAGATCTAAAACTAACTAGATCAATTAAACTAATCAACTAATCAATCCAATCTCTACTTCCAAGACACCTAAACCTTGAAGGGGAAGGCTTCGATCGAGGCGTGGAAAGACTTGGTCCGAGTATCAAGGCTTTATGGGTCTTGTTGGTAGTTGCCAGGTTCAGATAAGTCATATTGAGCTTTGATTATTAAATTGAATCGATGGCATCGGGTATATTCAACACTAATCTTTCTTATTGATTCTTAGATCGTTAAGATTCTTAACGATGACCTCAATTACGTCACAGGTAAGAGATATCTACGGAGCAGATCTTCAATATACAATCTGAGTTACGGGTAGATGTATCGGAAATCGGATCTTTAATTTAACCGATGTCACGGGTCTCTGATGTCACGAGCAATCTCGATGATCGATCAATTAATTTGATTAATTGTTATATTAATAAGTGATAACAATGCGTCACGGGTATTATTAAGCTTTTCAATAGAGTCAGGTATTTCGAATAAGATTTTTTTACTTGTCTCTGGTTTCTTATAAGCGACAATATTCCTATACTACTATCGAACAGGCTTTGGGTTTATTGGGAACGATTTGGGTTGAAGGGGACAATTTATTTAAGGAACCAACTTCTACTATTATGATTTCGAAGTTTTCAACTCAACTGAGTTGTTCTTTTATTGAAGAGAAAAGTCAGCGCTTTTTATAACTTTAGCGCTCCTAGTAAGTACATTATGTTTTCTATGGCTAATTATTCCCACTATTCTCAATT